CCATAATTTGAATCAGGTGCATGGATTATTACTGATATGAGCTAAACTGAAAGCAAAATGTGGGTGGGTTTGAGGTGGAGATTTACCGAGGTGAAATTGTCAAAGTCCGTATCGGTACCACTGGTCACCACTTGTGTCCCATTCATTGTGATCAGAGGCACATCCAATAACNTCCAATAACGGGTGTTGCTCATACATCGCCGTCAGAACGTCCGCATCGGTTAGGTTTTCTGGTCGGCTACATGTACAGTTGTGCGGTGGGCTCAAGTCCGGATTCCAATTTCTGAATGTAGAGAAAAAAAAACAGAAAAAAAGCGGGACGATAAGCATCCAGTGCATTGAACCTAATCAACCATCACATTCTCCATCCGTATCACAAGGTGCCCTGAGTGAGCAATTACATATGACAAGAGAGATGATTAAATGGGTATTGGCCAACCGGATAGAAAGGGGACCTATGGAAGACGAACGAAATGAAAAACACAAACGCTTGGAGGAAACTGGGGAGGAGCACACTACGGACGGCTATTTTTAATAAATTTCTCATAGTTATGTGTCCAGATATGTCGCCAGTTTATGATGCAAAGTATATGAATCAACTGAACTGTGATAAATTTCCGTTTTACTGAACTTTTATTCCCTGTATTCACTCAAGAGCAACTGAACGAATGAATAAATGTTTTTTCTATTTGTCTGACTTTTAATCCCATACCAGAAAAGTCAATTTTCTTTGGAGAATGAGATTTTTGCGTTTTGTCTCACAGTCCACCCTGAATATTTTTGGCTGACCGAAAAAGAAAAAACAGATTAGTGTTTATCATTTTGAACAACATCAACACGAAAGAATTGCGAGGTATATCTCATTTTTTGTGTCACACAATTCAAACAACATGAGCGACTTTATCAACTAAGGAAGGACTTGGTTCCTGTTCTATTTATTTCCTAATTAGAGATATTCACAGTTTATCAACTGTTCATTGGAACTACTCAATAATACTAAGGCGGATAGTGCGCTGAGAACACTATCAATAAAATTCATACGAAAGGACCAATTTCTTTCTTATGAGAGTTCAGTTCAGTTTTTACAACCATCAACCATGCACTTTCGTGCGCCGGCTTTGGTTGCTGTCTTTGGTGCCCCATTTGGATAAAAGTGCAGAATGAAGATTGGAATGTTGAAAGCGATTTAAAGCGGAAGATGGAGAATTCATACAGACTGGGGTTAAACGAATAATGAGCAGGTGCACGAGCGGCACAGTTTGCGACACCCAGCCATTTCACTTAGTGTCTCTAACCATTGGTGACCATCATCTGGGGGTCCCAGCCAGGGAGCCTAACGGGGCCTATGTGACCTAGTCTCCTGGTTAGGGATTTCATACCCTCATACCAGGTATTCATTTGACCACCCCTGACCTTTTTCCAACCACTACCTGCCCCGGCAAACATCGCCCGTCGTGGCAACCTATCTGGTGACATGCGTAACATATGCCCCAAACAACTTAATCTATGAAAGTCGATCAATTTCTCCAATGGACGAGCGCGACTGCCTAAAACTCTACGCTCAACCTCAGCATTGCTCGTCCGGTTACCACAACAGACTCGTGCAATGCGACGTAGACAGCGGTGATCGAACACCGGCAATCTATTTTTATCCTGTTCCTGTAATGGCCACCTTATATGTAGACCGCCAACCGCTTCACAGCCCTGGACGCAAATCTCTTTCTCATGTGACAAATAACAATGGCGTGGGAGAAATCGCATTGTGCAGTGTTTGGCAAAAGGAAATGGTACGGAATAACTGGTAACTTGTCTTTCACACAGAAGAGAATGTACTTAAACGTGGAACCCCTTACAGAGATTTCGCCGCAAATTTGAAGATAATGATACCGTATTCCTTGTGGGCCTTTACCGGAAGAAATTTTGTCAGAGAACAGTCGAAATGCGAAACCAGCAAAAATAGAGGATCCATGTGGGAAGTTTGTATTTATTCGCATTGTAAATAAACTTGACTGATGCAATCGATATTTAGCCGATTCAGAAAAATGGAATGGAACAATCAGTAAACCAGTCCAATTATAGCACTGTCAAAAAGCCATAATACGTCAGTGTTCTTTGCTTATGTTTTGAGGATAAACTATGCGACAAAGAAAGCACGCGAATGCTGTACAGTCCGCTTTTTGAAATCCCGTGCCTCGTAAAAACGATAAACAAACACACAACAATAGCAATAAGTGTACTGCGAGACACATAAAAAATTGTTTTTATCACTT